TCATGGTGAAATGTCTGTATACACACTATATGATCAAACACAGGGAGAAACAGGTTTTGCCCTAGACAGGAGGGAAGGCAGTTATCGACCTGTTTCCAATGTAAATTAAGCATTGTGGAACCAACACAAGGAAGCCGTATTTGCATATTAAGCCAACAGGCAAACAGGTTGAATGGGGGCAGGGCCAGGATTTGAAGACACAGGAGACTAAAACTTGTCTCTGGGGTCAAAACAATGAATTGAGGGGAAATATAAGGGGAAGCAAAAAGACATGTTGCTATCCATTTCTGAGGGAACAAAAAGGACAGCGCTTTTTGTATCCATGAAAGTTGTATCCTAGCCCTTGGCACTGGTGATCCTATTGGGATCCAGGAAGTGGGCGGGCGGAAGCTCGCCCACTCCTAAATAACCCTCCTGCAGCCTATTAGAAGTGAGTTATACTCTTGTTTAATCTCTAACCATATCTGTTTCTACCACCCTGACTCAATATGACTTGAATCTCTATCTTTATTAATAAACATCTCTTTGTTTTTTCATAAGTAGAGCTCAGTGCTGTAATATTAAGCGAAGTGTGAATTCTTAGTTGAATCAAGAAAGCTGGTGTGTATGCTGTCTCTTTGGAGGCAGTGGACTTAGTATTTATTGAGTGCCCAGTGACAGAAGCTGGATACTACAGGGAAATGCTCTTCAAGGGGGCTCAGGAATTGGGATGCATCAAGTGTTACCTGCTGTGATAAATGAAAGGGGGGGGGAGTAGCTCCCTTTTATGAACATCCAGCCAGCCAGTTCACTATAAATCCCTCTTGGTAGTTGTTCTCTACTTGCTTTACCTGTAAAGGGTTAAAAAGTCTCCCTGCATATGTAAGGGAGTAGGCACCTGACCCAAAGGGCCAATGGGAAGGCTAGAACTTTTTAAAATTTGGAAAAAAACTTCTCCTTTGTCTGTCTGTGTTGTTCTCCCAGAGAGTAGAGTCAGGGTTGGAATTATGCTGTAAAAAGCCTTGGGCCAGGTATGTAAAATCACTACATCATACCTAGAAACTACTCATTTGAAATCCCTGATATGTAAGTAGATCAGGAAATGTCTAGGAAGATGCAATTAGGTTTATCTCTTTTATTTCTTTAAAAGAACTGGGCCATGTCTGCTCCAAGAATGTCACTTGCACACCACAGGAAGGTTGGTGTTTCACACTCATGTGGCACTATGTATTCACCTACATGGCATAGGGAAGCACAGAACCTGCCCTGGGGGCTGCAGATCTAAATATAGGAGGCCCTGCCTGAGTCTTCAACTGCCTGAAGCAACAACTGGGAGAAGTGCAAATTGGCTTGTTTCCTCAATGGAACATTAGTTCTGAACCCTAATGATAACAAACTGCTTTGTCATGAGGGTGTAAAATGTACTGATGCTAGAGCCCAATCAATGCTGCAGGCTGATGCCCAATTCAGCAGAACCCCTGTTTTTTCAAAATGATCTTACATGTCTGTGAACTCCCACCATTTGCTATGGGTCACAGGCCTTCTCTGCAAATGGCTTACCCCATAGCTCCCACCATGGCCTTTCAGTCTCTGATGGTCCCGTTTTCACTAAGAACCCTGGCTGCACCTGGCTTTCCTAGAGTCACTCTGCTCTAAGAGCCAGCTCAGCTAAAGGGCACTAAGGGGGCAGCTGGAGCACATCATTCCTCACACCACAGGCACATTCTTCTGGTCAGGTTACTAGAAACTCAGCAACTGTAGACCAGGCTCCTTGGCCTAACATGAGAAGTTGTGCCAATGGCATATAACATGGACTGTTTTGTTAGAACAGAAGCCTAGGAATCAGAACTCCGGGGTTCTATCCCCAGCATTGAGAGGGGAGTGGATTCTAGTAGTTAGAAGTGGGTGGGGAGATGGCAGCCAGGGCTCCTGAGTTCCTTTTCTGTTTGGGGGAGAGGTGGACTGGAGCTGCTCTCAGACAGGCCTGGCAGCTCAGCTGGGTGAACAGGTGTTACTTATTTAACACAGTGCAGGAATCCTAAGTGGTTGATCAGCAAGGCTGTTGTCACCCTAATCCCTTAAGGCTCATCAATTCCTGCTTGGCTGCGAGCAGCTTGCAGCTCTGATCCTGAGAAAGGCTATTTAACACAGCTGCTGCTTTGGCTCTGACTCCTAACAGCACTGGCCAGCAAAGCCACACCACACACACAGCTCTGCCACTCCCCTCATTGCCACAGCTGCCCCCCCAGCCAGGGGGCAGCATAGGTAGGGCCTGAAGTGTCCCTCCCAACAAACCCCTCTGGAACTGAGAGAACAAAAAGGGTGGATGTAACCATAGGGTTACCATATTTCAACAAGCAAAAAAGAGGATGGGAGGAGCCCCGCCCCCGTCCTGCCCTAGCCCCGCCCCTGCCCC